GTTAGGGCCCGATCAATGAGTGTCTTTTCTGTTTAGTAAGTTTGAGCATATCAGTGGTGAAACGTGCCAATAATTTTGAAATGAAAATGTACAAATACTGGTTAGGTTCCCCGATTAGCTCTCCTTCCCCCAAATCTTACTGAACCTAAATAATGTGCTTAAAAGGCCTCTGGTTTTTGGATTTAGAAGAGCTTCAGTGCCTTTGCAAACTCGGGCTTGGTTCCCAGGGACTGTGCACTATTTCTCGGCTTTAAGGAATTTGCCTTTTCTCATTTTGGAATGGAAAGTAGCTTTCAGATTTCCCCTATTCATTTTCCCCCTAACGAGCTTGGAAGATTTTTCAGAGAGGTCTTCTTGCAATGTATCACAAAGAAATGGCTTCTTTGTTAATATCTTCTTTCTATTTTACTCACCTAGCCCAGGACTGGCAAAACAGACTTTGTCACACATTGCCATCTCTAAATGATGAGAGTCTATGGGATGCTCTATTGAGATGATTTTTGTCATCACACTCAAGCACTGCAAGAGTGTGCTGTGGTTTATTAGTGATGTCTGCCATGAAGACAGAACAGAGGCATGGCAGATATCTGTAAATTCACATTCCTGACGTAAATCTTGCTGTAAAAAATAAAATTCCCTTAGAGGTCATAATATCAACCTGACAGTTATGTGGAGTTCACTAACTGCTGGGAACTATTCTAAATGTTTAACATATTTAACTCATTAAATTACTAAGGAAGAAATTCTTATAAAATAGGAAATGAAGATACAAAGAGGTTAAGTGACTAAGCCAAGGTCATACAGCAAAAAGTAGGAAAGCTGAGACGCAAAGTTGGGCGGTCTTGTTTCATAATCCAGGCTCTTCACCACCCACTCTGTTCTCTGTTTTTAGCTATTGCTGTGCCTGCTGTTCACAGTGCTGATGTAAGTCAGCTGAGCTGTAGAAGAAAATGCAAAATCAAATTTACAGAAATTATTGTCTTTGGGCTTTGGGTTCTGTAATTAAAGACAAAATGAGAGTGGGCATTTGGCGTAGTGGTTAGGCCGCTGCCTGGGACACCTGCATCCCGTATCTCAGTTCCTGAGTTTGAGTCCTGGCTCTGCTGCCAATTTTAGCTTCTGCCAATTCTTGCTAATGTGCATCCTAGGAGGCATCAGCTGCCAGCTCAAATGGTTGGGTCCCTGCCACCCATGTGGGAAACCCAGATTGAGTTCCTGGTTCCTGGCTCCTGGCTTATGCCTGGCCCACCTCCAGCTGTTGTGGGTGCTTGGGGAGTGAACAAATGGAATGGAGATTTCTCTCTGTGTCTCTGTCTGCCTCTTTTTTTTTTTTTTTTTTAAGATTTTTATTTATTTGAGAGGTAGAGTTACAGACAATGAGAGAAAGAGAGAGAGAAAGGTCTTCCTTCTGTTGGTTCACTCCCCAAATGGCCGCTACAGCCAGAGGTATGCTGATCCAAAGCCAGGAGGCAGGTGCTTCTTCCTGGTCTCCCATGCAGGTGCAGGGGCCCAAGCACTTGGGCCATCCTCCACTGCCTTCCCAGGCCACAGCAGAGAGCTGGACTGGAAGAGGAGCAACCAGGACTAGAACCGGCGCCCATATGAAATGCCGGCACTGCAGGCAGAGGATTAACCTAGTGTGCCACGGCGCCGGCCCCTCTCTCTGTCTACCTTTGAATTAAATGAATGAATGACAAAACAGAGCCCAGGGAAGAACGATATGAATCAAGATGGAGCAGCAAATTAACTTCCTCCTTCCTCTGGTCATGGAGCATTTTTGTCTTTCTTTCCCTACTGCACTTGTTGGCCTCTCAGATGAGGGTAGGTGAATGGGAGAGGGAGTAGACATTCAAGAAATAGAGAAGAACAAGTATTGAGGAAAATGTAACAATCTGTCCTTTGGTTGAACTTTGAATTCAAACATATTTTTGCCCTAGACAATAAGAAGTTAGCAACTATGACAAAGGAATTGATAGAAATAAATGTCTTAATGATTTAATTTTCATTTTTAAATGTTTTGTCTGTCTTTTCATAGGCATTTATATTTTAATTAATTACCATTGTAATTTACATAGACAATATAGTGGGATTGTTTTTCCTTACCATTATCCCAGCTACTTCTCCACATATTTATATATCTCTCAATGTTGTATTTAAAATATGTTGCGTGATATTCCATTCACTTAATAAAGCATGAGTAGTAATTTTCCCAGAAATTTCCCTACTTTTGGATATTTAGTTGATTTTTAAAAGATTTATTTATTTATTTGAAGGCAGAGTTACAGAGAGACAAAGGCAGAGAGAGAGAGAGGGGAGGAGGGAGAGAGGGAGGGAGGTGTCTTTCATCCACTGGTTCACTCTCCAGATGGCCACAATGGCTGGAGCTTTGCCGATCCAAAGCTAAGAGCCAGGATCTTCTTCTGGGTCTCCTGTGTGGGTACAGGGGCCCAAAGACTTGGGCCATCTTCTGCTGCTTTCCCAGGCCATATCAGAGAGCTGGATCGGAAGTGGAGCAGCTGGGACTTGAACCGGCACCCATTTGGAATGACAGCACTGCAGGCGGTGGCTTTACCCACTATGCCACAGTGCCGGCCCCTTAGTTGATTTTAATATTTTATTATTGCTAGTCATACTTTAATAAATATTGTTATGCATATCACCTTTTTTCCTCTTGAAATTTTATTTAAATGCTAAGCAGTGGAACTGATGGGTTACAGAGCTTGAATAGGTTTCTGACTCCTGAAAAGCAAACATTTTCGAACTCAGTGGCAGAACTTGAAATTCTACTTGGAGACTCATCATGTTTCTTAGAATTCAGTGACAGTGATCCTAACTATATATTTCTTTTCCTTTTTTTAATTTAATAAATGTGAATTTACAAAGTGCAACTTTTGTATTGTTGTGGCTCCCCCCCTCAACCTCCCTCCCTCCCGCGGCCCTCCCCTCTCCCACTCCCTCTCCCATCCCGCCCTTCATCGAGTTTCATTTTCAATCACCTTCATATATAGAAGATCAACTTAGTATACACTAAGCAAGGATTTCAACAGGCTGCACTCACACAACCGCACAAGGTATAGGGCATTGTTCGACTAGTAGTGTTGTTTTTAAGTTTCATAGTAAAACACATTAAGGACAGAGATCCTACGTGGGGAGCCTGTACTCAGTGACTCCCGTTGTTGATTTAACAATTGGCACTCTTATTTATGACGGCAGCAATCACCCAAGACTCTTGCTATGAGCTGTCTAGGCTATGGAAGCCCCTTGAGTTCACCAACTCTGAACTTGTTTAGTCAAGGCCATATCACAGTGGAGGTTCCTTCCTCCCTTCAGAGAAAGGCGCCTCCCTCTTTGATGGCCTGATCCTTCTGCTGGGGTCTTGTTCACCAGGAAGTGATCCTAACTATATTCATGAGTGCTTGACAGGGTCACCTGGGGCCTTGCATCATGCACCAGCTGATTGGGCCAGTTGGCAGCTGATGGGTCACTGTAAATCTGCCAGGCCTACTGCCACCTTGTGCTGGGAACCCTGGCTCCTCCCTCCTAGATTTTCTGTTGTTAGGGTAATACCACAAAAACTGAAGAACCAGTGAGAGCCCCTGTACTGAACAGATGGAACCCCTAAGCTTTGTCTGAACTAGGCCGAGCCATGAAAGCTTACAGGTTCTCCAGGAACTCTGCAGTAGTGAGGCTGAGGCTAAGGTTCCCAGGAGTTTGGAGAGGGGCTCAAGACCTTCCATGTTGCCGTCCCAGTCTTCATCTGTCCTTAACTCCCATTGCTTCTCAGTGCAGCACCTCCACTGTCTGGCCTGTTCCTCGCCCAGGCAGGTGCCTCCTGGCCATCACTCAGGTCACTTTCTCGCTCTTAGCCATGCAGACCCTTCTTCTTGAAAACTGGCCCAGTAGCAGTGCCTTCACAGAGTGTACTCTGACTTCCCAGCTCGCTGTCCCTCGGCGATGAGCTCCTATGGTACCCGCAGGTCACCTTCCAGGACTTGGCAAAGAGCTGTTCTGTGGTGTTTGTGGTTTACCTCTCGAAGATAATTGTACCCTCTTCAAGGGCAGGAACAATGTTATTCTTCTCCTCTAGACCCTTTAGGGCCTGGCTGTAGTTCTAAGCCCTCTGCCAGAGCTCAATAAATTGATGTGACCAATGCAGCCAGAGTCTATGTGCTCCATGATGTAGTCTGAGTGTTTTAGCTGTTCTTCTCTTAGAATTTTCTACATAAATCCTCATATTGAAAAATTCCTGAGAGTATTGTTAAAATACTCATAGGTGGAACATACTTTGATATTCTCTATCTGTTCACAGGGTATTGTGGGAACAAGTTAATACTAGAAAGTTGAATCTGGTTCCTTTTTATTTCCAAGACCTTGATATGCACTACAGTGAGAAGGTGTCTGGTTGTGGGGCCACGGCACAGGTGATGAAGGAACAGTGAGTGGCACAGGCCTGTGCAGTGTCTCTCTGGTTCATAGGAAGCCTGGTGTCTCTGGCCCCAGCACAGTGGCTGAAGTGTAGTAAATGACATATTCTGCCATTCTGGCTCTTGGAAAGTTGGCCCTGCTGTTATTGCTGCTCCTCTCCCTCCTTGCTTTAAATCCTGATTGCATCAGCATTTCGGTTGTCAGGGGTCTTCAGAGGCAAGCCGGTTCAGGCTGGAACCCGGGCTCCCCTTGTTCTCTAGGATGTAGCTTAGCACAGTGGGGGCCCTCCGACCAGGAGTCAGATGCTTTCAGACCGGGATCGCTCTGTCTCCACTGGCTGCCCAGCTCCGTGCTAGCTCTAGCATGCACTTTGGTAAAATGATGTGCCTGAACTAGGCTCTTCTGAAATCGAAATGAAAAACGAAATTGCAGAAACTCTCAAGATGGTAAGCAGTGGTGTATTTCTAACTTAAAGGGAGAAATAGGCTCATTGACACATTTAATAACATGTGTTAGCATGTGTGTAGAACTTTACACTTGAAGTTAAATTTCTTTCTTCCTTTCTTTTTTTCTAGCCAAACATCATGTCAACGACAACAGAACAGTTGAACCTTTCCCAGAGGGAACACAGATGGCTGTATTTGGTAAGATATCAATTCTGAAAGAAAACCCAAATTGTGTGCAAAGATGAGTGCCAAATTTCTTAGTTTTAGCAAGTGTCCTCCGGGCTTCAAAATCTGGGCTCTTCTAGATATTTACAAGTCTTTACAGCCAAGAAAACTATTGAGTTCTTAGTAATTTCTGGGATTGGAAATGCTCATTCGTAGAATTTAGTGTGCTTTCCTTTCTCATTTTGACAACCCAAATATCAAATTGTGTACTTGCTATTACTTATGTCCACACTGTGAATTAACCTGCTAATTTAGGGTTTGAGTTTTTCTTTGCAGGAAGGATTTTTCCCCACCATGTGGATATATATATATATATACCTTTCCAAAGGCTGGGATTCAAGTTGTTGTTCCGGCAATCTAATTGAATGATCTCTTTCTTCTCCATCCTGATTTGAGCACATTCCTTAAGAATGTGCTTAGAACATTAATTGAAAATGTTCTAAGCAGAATCGAGTCCAATCCCTGAGTGTACACCAGCAATAGACAACTACATGGTTGAGCAGAACTTCTGTGTTCCATGCTGAACTGTTTTTTCAGAGAGCTCCTTTGTAATCAGTGTTTCCTGTCACCATATCTGGTGTCACCAAAAGTTCCTGCAAAATATCTCCGCAGCTGGCATTTTCCTTGTCTGCCTTTCTCCCCTCTCACATCCCTCCTGTCTTCTTCCTTTCTCTTCTTATACCTCCTTACCCTCTGCATTCCCCTCCCCTCCTCTTCCATCTAGCAATGCTTTGGGGTCCTCCCACAGGAATGACCATCTCTGTCCCCTGGAATGCCAATGAGAAATTCAGCTGTCTCCCTGTTCCTTCTCTTTAGTCTAAAGATCTCCCCCATCCTAGAAGCTAGAAGAACCCTGACTTCACACCTCCTCGATAAGCTTCCATCCTACCCTGGTCTTGAGGGTAGTTTCCTACAAGGATATAAAACTGCTTTGAAGTGTTGAGGTGTATTTGCATTAGAAATCGACTTCAGAACAACTTAGTCTCTAAGTTAGCATGTTCAAGATAGAATGTTCCCTTACTCCCAGCGATGGAACCAGAATTAGCCATTAGTGATTATCTGTTGGAGAATTATGAAACAAAGACCTAATTTTGCCTAAGGGTTGTTAAATCTTGCTCTGTATGAGCTATCATTTTTGAACATGTACTGGCCCATGATTAGAAATCCCTATGCTCAGAACTTAGGATTTTAAAATAATTAAATAAATAAATAATTTATTTAATAATTTGTTTGAAGGACACACAGCAGGGCAGAAGGTTGGTATGGAGAGAGATAGATACAGATTAGTTGTCCCATTTGCTGGTTTACTCCCCAATGGCCCATAATAGCTGGGGCTGGGCTAAGCCAAAGCCAGGAAGCTGGAGCTAAATCTGGATTTCTCCTATGAGTGCTAGGTATCAACTATTTGAGCCATCATCTGCTACCTCCCAGGGTACATGTTGGCAGAAAGCTGGAATTGGGAGCACAGCCCCAACTCAAACAAGGTACTCTGTTGTAGGATGTGTGTTTCTCAAGTGACATCTTAACTGCTGTGCCAAACAAGTACCCCAACCATGCCTTCTTCTATTAGACCAACTTCTCCATTTAAATTTCTGAGCATAACAGGAGTGGGTGTTTGGTGCAGTGGTTAAGGTACTACTTGGGCTGCCTTCAGTACCACGTTGCAATGCCTGGTTTTGAGTCCCACCTCTGCTTCTGCTTCCCTAGTAGTGTCCTGGGGGACAGTAGGTAAAGACAAAGTACTTGTGTCCTTGACACTGAATTGGGAGATCTGGATTGAGCTCTGGTCTCCTTATTTAGGCCTTAGCCCCAGCTATTGCAGGCATTTGAGGAATGAACCGGTGGGTGGAAGATCTTTGCCTGTCTCTGTGTTGTCCTCTCTCTGTGTTTCTTTGCTATTCAAAGAAAAATAAATAAGGGCCAGCACTGTGGCGTAGCAGGTAAAGCTGCCATCTGCAGTGCTGGCATCCCATATGGGTGCTGGTTGAAGTCCCAGCTGCTCCACTTCTGACCCAGCTCTCTGCTGTGGCCTGGGAAAGCAGCAGAAGATGGCCCAGGTCCTTGGGCCCCTGCACCCACATGGGAGATTGGGAAGAAGCTCCTGGCTCCTGGCTTCAGATTTGCCTAGCTCCTGCTGTTGCAGCTACTTGGAAGACCTCTCTCTCTCTCTTCCTCCCCCTCCCTTTCTCTCTCCCTCTCTCTCTGTCTCCCTCTTCCTTCCTCTCTTGTCCTCTCTCTCCCTCTCTCTGCCTCTGCCTCTCTGTAATTCTACCTTTCAAATAAGTAAACAAATCTTTAAAAAACTAGGTAAAAGTTTAAAAAGAAGGCATCACGGACATGTCTGTTTTGTCAACTCTTCTAGCCTACTATGGTGTCTGTCTTCATGGGACAGCAGGTGTTATGTGTACCAACGTTTAAAGGATTCTTCTGATGACTGTTTTTCCGTCAGTTTCTCAGATTTACCTTCCCCCAGACATCTTGGAAGTGAGGTTCCACGTCATTTTGTGAAATGTAAAGTGACACTGACCTATTTTAGTGGGTTTCTCTCTGTTGTGGTATTGGAGACAGACTTCCTTTAGGAAGGGCAGACCCAGTACCACATGGGCTGAAGACTTTGTTCTCCTACTGAATTGCAGCTATCAGGGAATAAACCTCTGTGGCAAGAGTACATGGGGGTTTTCTTTTGGGGGTGGGGGTGGGGGCAGTGGGTGAAGGACAGATTTGGTTTACAGTGGCTTCGTAAAATTCCTAACCCAAGACCTTCACTATTTGACTGCAGGCAAACAACTTCCTCTCTCCAAGGTTCAGTTTTTCAGTGAGAAGTCTGACTGGATAAGCATTGAGGCCTTTCCAGCCCTGGGTCCTCTGTTTCTACCTCTTCTCCGGACTAAAGGCTTATCTGGCAAAAGCCCACTAGGAATGACCCACTCGTATGATTTTAAAAGAGATGACTCCTGTGCATAACTCCTACACGTTAACTCTACATAAAGGGCACAGTTGTACATATCACCAAAGAGAATATGTGTGACATCTGAGAATTCTTACTTTACAGTTGTAGTTTGCCTCTTCCAGAGGCTTAAAGTCTCTATTTTTGGTAGAGAAATGCATATATTTCATATTCATATTTTCAAAACTGTTCTCATTTTATATCATTTGCCCACCTGACCTACAGTGGAGTAAGGGAACAGGTGGCTTTTGGGGCAGGCTTTGGCCCTCCTGGATTGTTTGTAGTGGCACTGACAAAGTCCATCTAAGCTGAGTGCTTGACTCTTTGAGGGGTGCCAGGTGTCTCATCCAATCAGCACCTTGCAGGGCTGGCAGGTTTGTGTAATCCCCCTCTCAGCAAGGTCACATGCCTTATTCATAGTTGCTTGGCTGGTGCAGTGAAGGAGTTAAGAGTTTGGTCCATGTCTGATAGGCCCCGAATCTGTGTTGTTTTTGTGATATCCCCGAGTCTCTACACTGCTTGAAGGAACCCTGGGAGAGCCCAGTAGATTCAAATGCCTTTCAACTGGGTCCACCCACTAAAGCAGGATTTCCAGCCAAGCCAATTTAGCAAATTGATTTGTAAACATCTGTGCATTCCCAGAGTGTTCTGGAGCACTCTCGAGATGCAGCTTTTGCCGGGAAAATACTGTGTGGAGTGATGTCACCTACTATTATCTCTTTCCCCCATTTGATTTCAGCGTGTGTGCATGTACAGGACTGTGTTTTCCATCCACTTGACTGGGAGCTAACCAGAGTCATGATGGCATTTTCTACTTGTCCAAACTCATTCTTCAGCCTTGAAGGTCTTAATATTTTATGCCAAAGTAGGATCACCAATTAAAATTTCATTATCTACGGGTTAATCACTTGTGTGTACCTCACAGAATGCTGTCTAAGTAGGAACTTTTAAATGTAATCCAGTCTGCAAGTGACCACTGAACTGCCATTAGGCTTTCGGATTAGAATGGTTGCAAATGAAAATGACAGATACAGGGCAGGGAGAAATACATGAATGTGCTATGTCAGGTAATCGGAGAATATAGACATGGCTCCTTGGAAACTGTTCCTGGCATTCCATCTTCACAGAGTATTTCTGACTTGAGACGTTCCGCTTTTTTCACTGTCTTGTTCGTCGGCGGTGGGTTTGTCCCCTGCACCCTTCCCCAGATCTCGTTTCTTTGCCACCGAGTTCTCAAGCTGCTCTGCTGCTCTCTTTTCTCTGCACTTGGGGACAGTGGTAATGAGGGTAATCGGCTCTGTGTTCCTGGTGGGCTTCTCCGGTCTGCGTGTGATGCTCTCTTTCAAGTCAGTGGGAGCCCTTTTCTCACAAGCTGGAAAAGCGGAACCAACATTTTGCAATTACTTCATGTCCTTTGTTCCTGGTGGCTGAGAGTGCCCCGTGGCTATCATCCCTTTGCTTCTTACAGCGGCCCTGTGAAGTGGGCATTACTGTGCTCTCTCGCGGGCAGAGAAACTGAGGTACCCAGAGATGAAAGAAATATGGTCAAGTAGCGGAGCGCTTTCTCTGGCCGGAGAACATCTTTTGCCAACATGCTGTGCCTGTCTTAGAAAGGTTTTCTGTGGCACTCAGTATCTTAATGGAAGTGACGTCCCATTGGCAATGGGCCACACTGTTCAAGCAGAAGGCCAGGATGTAGGCTCTTCATGGAGGTGGTCTTCAGCACAGAATAGCTATTTATTTATTAAAAAAATACTTCATGCTCACGAAGGCTGAACATGTCAAAGTAAAGCGTAAGCTTAGTAATTGAGAAAGGTAGAAAGTAGAGGGCAAGGGCCTGAATCTTACTTTGTAGGGTTTTTACTACATAGTTAGAATTTTAAAGTATAATCCTTGGGCAGGAACTTGTCATCCAAACTAGGATTCTTTGGGGAATGAAAAGGGTGCTATTAAAACTTGTGTTGAGGATCAGGTTGTGGGGCACTGGGTTAAGTTACTACTTGTGGTGCCAGCATCATGTATGGGA